AACCAATATGTTATAGTCCATAGACACTTCGTATTCTCGATACAGTCAGATTGGTTTTCTCTGTCCATTTGAATCCATCATACCTTTGCACATAAGGCATGAGCACGTTTAGTTTCTTTCCCTTGTAACCCATAGATGTTGCATACTCTGGACTTTGTTGAGCAAGGCCTTCTTCTACTAAGGAATCCACCGAGGAATCACACCAGTAATTTTACTAATTGTAGGGGAATTCGGATTTTATTTTTTTTCTAAAAGCTGCCTATTTTTGTTCTCCCCTAAAAACCCCCACAGTTGTGAAGACTGCTGACCACCTAGTGCCATTCCATGTTCCGCCCTGCATGGATCTCCCGGTTCACCTTCTGTGTGTTGGATCTTCCCACTCTCCTTGATTACCTGCTAACGCCTGTCGACTGCTAACCTGCCAGCCATCAACTCCATCAGCCCTGCAGTAATTTAAAACGCTCCGGTTATCCATGCCACTCTCCCCAGAAAAATAATATTTTGTCATCCGCCAGATCTCTGTGCATGCTACAAACCTGGTAGTAAACCTTCTAGGCCAAAGTTGGAGTATTGTAAAGAGAAAGTGTTTTTGCTACAAACTTTAACCCTTGTTTTCCCCAGTGTCTCAGGATCACCACCCGCCTTCGGTTGTACCTTACCTACCGCTGCTGCGTTCCTGCCCTGCCTACGCTGGCCGTAATCTTCGCAGTCCAGCTCTGGCCTGGGGTCTAGCCATACGCGTGCTCAGCCCAACCTGCCTAGCTAGGAGCCCTCACCATTTCATTCCCCGAATTTTCCAATAAAGCCTGTCTTTTGGAATCGTACTAACCGAGTTTGTGATCTGCTTTTGGGTTCCTCTATTAACGTAACAGGAACCAGAGGAACCTGATTTTTGCAGATTATCTGTCTTGTGTTCTACTGTCAGGATATAATGAATGGTAAATACAATGAAAAGTTATTTTTCTAAAAGTTACCTACTGCAACTTTAAAGTTATATAAACATGGGAATGTTCTAGAAATATCTGTAACACTATAATAAGTCATTTAACACATTAATTAATGCAGTTGGTTGTCAGATACACGTTGCTGCTTGACCCTGTGGTCGTTATGTGACATTTACAAGCTAGGGGGACAAACACAAGATTAAGTTTAACAAATGAAATAAATATCATACCTGGAGTAAGAACAGAAAAACTCAGTATACCTTCTAAAGCAACCTTTTTCCTTATGGGACCCTTAAGTAAAGTGACTAAGCTACATATTTTATGGATATTTTATATTAAAGGCATAGCAATAACAGTAGAGAACAACTGTACAATGAACCCAAACAGTCAACACTACATGAAGATGGGAGATTGGATGAATTTTTGAGCAGATTATTTCCTGATAATATTGATCAGAGATCAGTTTTCCTGATTTTTAGGGAACTTTTTATACAATTTGCTGTTTATTTTTTAACAATATACAATCTAAATAGGCTTCATGTTTTTCTTTTAGCCATTGTTCTATCAGCTCACTGGTTGTTTTAAAAGCATACTTTTCTAATGCAGGACAAGGCTGTCAATCAGAGAGTGAAGGCTCTGAATATACATTGTGTTCAGTTCTTTAAAGTCTAGTAATACAAATTAGAACTTCATTCAGGAAAAGGATATGCTGAGATATAGCCTCCTGTATATATTTTTCAAGTTTGTTTTCTTACACCCCTTAAGATCAAGAAGGCCTCATGACTCCCTGAAGTGAAGCTTTGGTGGTGCTTATGGGGGTCTCAATCCCCAGGTTGGGAACCACTGTCCTAAAGGGAATCTAATGATATTATTAGGTTAACCACCAAGGCAAAAAATAATTAAAAACACTTAACAAAGCAATCTCTTCTCAAGGTCCTATCACTGCCTTTTTGGAGATTTCAACCATAATATACAGTCTCTATCTGCAGATGTACACACTTGTATACACTTTAAGTATCGACTATTTGCCAGTGTCATTTACAGTGGGGCTATTTCCTGATCTCAAAAAAGCATTTGATACTATTGACCATGACTTCCAAAATTGAAGGGGTTCCTCAAGGCTCAGCATGAGGCCCATGAGTGTGTGTTTAAGGTTTCCATAAACATTCAAATTTATTTTCATTTGCAGATGACACCAATTTATTTTTTGTGTAGGAATTTAAAACCACTTCAGGATCCTGCAAAACTTCCAAACTATCTCTGAATTTAAGCATGAATGAATCTATCATCTATGATAATCGTGCAACAAATTTACAAAGCAAACTTGTGAGGGTTCCCGGAAAATAATGCATGAATGTTTGGGAGTTATAACAGATAGTTTAAAAAATGTCAAGTATGTTGAGTACAATAATTTATAAAAATTAAGAACATCTTAAGACGAGCTTTCTTACATCTAACA